TCTATTCACTGTACATCACATACAGCCCTAAGCACCCGCTACCGATATTTCAGGGAACAGGCGTGAATGTTTCGCCTCTAGATATGTGACAAGGCGTGGTCTCTTCCCCAGAACCTTGATCTGAGCTGAAGTACTGCTCCAGTTCTGGTAGGGACCTGTCCATGATGTATTCTGGCATACCCATTTTAGGGGCTCATTGTGCGTAAGAGCCCGTCTCACCTACTGGTCCCACGAATGCATTGTCTTGCTAACAGCCAGTCCGTACAACGTGCTCCCTCTGGCACATCTTCAGAACTATATGGCAGTAGCCAGAAGAACAATACGCGAAGCTTATCGTAGGTGAAAAGTGATCGGTATGTTTTGTGACACGAACTCTGTCGGATACACTGGGTATGATGCTGTAAAGGAAAGTATGACGATGTATCACCGCTGGGCTGACGTCTTAGGCCCCCTCAGGCCGCCCATTGTCAGTATAGCTTCTCTTATTTATCGCGTTGGGTATCTCAATTTATACAATAGTATACAGTGCTATACATTGGCTCTATGCCCCCAGTTCGCTACTCCCAATCCTCCGGATCATCACCCGGTCTTCCACCTTGACCACTTTCCTTCCGCTGCTTCCCCTCAAACTGCTCCAGCGTCACGCCCTTCTTCCGGTCCAGTGCGACGAAGAAGCCTTCCATCGATTCCTACACATGTTTTTAGTTGAAAAAGCTATGAGTTGAAGCCAGGTTCGGGCAAGGAGATGCAACTTACGCCTCTACTGGACTCTGGTTTCACTCTATGAACTCGCTTGAACATGAACTTCAGTCTGGCCAGTAGATCTCGGTCGTCCGGGCCCTGGTAGTATTTACAGACGAAATGGCCGCCTGGTTTAAGGGTATCGGAAGCAAAGGAGAGGGCGGCGTTACAGAGTCGCTGATATCCAAGTTAGCAAAGTAGTATCTGGAAAGAGAAAAGAGGTAACAGACCATGCTGCCGGCTTGATCTCGGAATCGATTGCCACTCGTGTTCATCATCCTGCGATACGGGTTACTCAAGCTGTTGATGGAGAAGCCATGGATTTGGGGCCAGGGTGCTGACATGTCGGACAGTACTACCTGGTTATTGTTAGCAACTCACAGGGGATTTCCCAAGTCGTTTGCACTTACAGAAATAACCTTCTCATCTATCCTCTTCTTGTTCCCCTCTTCACCATCAGTCTGCGCTTCTTGTTCCATTTTCCGAGCCTCGGCATCCTCTCTTGCCGCTGCCCGCTCAGCCTCGATGTAGCTGGTCTGCTGAACAACGACATCCTCGCTCCGTGCCTCTTCCTCTCCCTCTATCCCCGCCTCCGCCCGACCATTGTCATCCTTCTCATTCCTACGCCTCTCCTCTTCCTCAGCTATTGCCTTCTTCTCCATACTCTTCTTCCATACTGCCTCCTCAATGAAAGCCTTCGCCATCTCCTGAACTCTTGGATTCAGAAAGTCTCCTTGAATCGTGCTGACACCTGGCGGGGGCTGATGTGGAATCAAATCTATCCCGAGGACGATCCCGTAAGGTCCAACTCTGTCTTTGGCCACTTGCGACCACGACCCGGGTGCATAACCGAGATCCACGACCGTCGCTCCGCGGGAGAAGATTCGGTATGTTTTGTCCATCTCGAGGAGCTTGAAAGCCGCGCGAGATTTGAGGCCTTGAAGCTTGGCTTCACGGACAAAATGGTCGCCCCCTTGCCGTGACTTCCATCTTGAGTTTGAAGAAGAAGGACGGAGTTGGGTCTGTGTCATTGAGGGCGGACATGGTGACGATGGGTGGACACGGGAAGGAGAAGTGAGGCGTGGGCAGTGGTGGGCTAGGCTACGAAGAGGGAAGAGAGCCCTGCAGGGGTGACTGGGCTTACATGATGCCAGCATCTTCCGGCAAAACAACAAGATGACAAGAAAAGAGAAAGTGGTAGGTGTATTGAGGATGAGATTGTGACTGTATGTGAATGTGATATTCTTTCGGATATGACGCTTAATTGCATGCAGACCGCGGCGTTTGCGCTAAATGCATTGACCGTTTTATCACTAAAATTGAAACTCCCGGTGTAGATCACAGTGAACATCAGCAGAACCAAGAATGAAGTATGTTGAGAATCAAGGTAAAACAATCATATACTAACGGAAGCGCTATATGATCCTGTTTTGATGTGCGAGACATGCGAACTAAGGGTCGGTTGAAGCCCACTAACACTCATCCATCCGCCACTATGCCTTTGGCCTATCTATCGCAGTCTTGATAATCATGCCGCCAGTTGCTCAGAAGCTAGGATTAGCGTTCTTCAACAACATCTCAAAGTAAGCCTGGTTCCAGGTACCGGCCTCAGGGCTGGGCTGGAAAGCATCGGACTTTCCGCAGAAGCTGTCGTAACGCGTCGCACTGCTGTCGCTGGTACCATCACTCTCACCACCGGGCTTGATCCAAACAAAGGCGTCGGCCAAGTCGTCCCCGGTGCTGCTGGTAGGTCTCACTCCGAATCCGGCGCCATCGACGTTGCACCAGTCACCCCACTCGTTCCTCAAGCCCGTCTTGCCGTTTCGGCCGGTATCAACGATGGCGTGGTTGGGCATGCCGTTGGACTTGAGCAGAGGAGCGAAGGTGTCAACATAGATCTTCTCCGTCTGGCACTTGTTGTACTTGGCGTCGCTAGCACCGGAGAATTCGCCCTTTCCGTCCCAGGCGTTCCATCCCGCGGAGTTGGTGGCGAAACCACGGAACTGCTTGGGAGAGCCACCGCGCTTGTACGCGTCCGCGAGCTCCTTGGCGCCAGGCTTGAGGTTGGCGTCCCAGCCCAACCAACCACCGTGTCCGGCATCGAGGTACATGATGACGTTTGGCAGGTTGAGGTTCTTGATGGCGTACGCGACACCATCGCGGTAACCTTGGGCGGAGTCCTTGCAGGTCTGCAGGTCCGAGTTGGTGACGAGGTTGGGAAGGGAGTCGGGCTCGATGAGGAGCGCGAAGGCCGTCTTGGGGTAGGCCTTGATCAGCTTGACGATGGGGTCGATGTATTCGGACTTGTACCGGTTGATCTCGCCTACGGCTAGTTCACCGTTGGAGGCCTTGGCAGCGCAATCACGGCCAGGGAGGTCGTAGATGACCAGGCCGAGAATGTTGGTGCAGGGCACATCGGCGAGGGCGGGCTCGATCTTGGCAATGTTGGCGATTGTATCACTGGTTTGACTATTAGTAACCTGTGCCGGTCGCTCTCATGTCTTCAGGACTAGCACCTACATCCACAAAAAGCTACCAACATCAGCGACCTTGGCGGCCGCGGTGGCGAGGCTGGGGTCGGAGAGCTGCTGGACGGCGGCATTGACCTCATCACGGTAGAACTTGTTCGGGTGAAGAGTGTACTTCTTGAACGGGTTCTGGCTGGGGTCGAGAGTGACAGCTGACGCGCAAGCAGCCTGGGCGTTGCGTGGCTCTTGCTGGGTGGTGGGGGAGGGAGCGGCGACGGCCGTGGCAGCAAATGCCACAACCGCGGATTGGGAGAACTTCATGCTGGGCTACTGCAACACTGCTGCTGAGGTTGAAGCTGAAGCTGCAGAAGGGAGGATTGTGTGAAGGGGGTCATCGTCAGGCTTTATATCATCGCCCGAGTGGCAAGCTTTTGACCCCAAGGCTCTCGGGAAGAACGCCCCTTCCGCGTCCCATAGTACGATTTGCACCATCTGAGCCTTACGACCACGGAAGATCAAGTCATGAGGCTCGCCTACCACGCAATTAGGGAGCCAGGGCCGTCCTACGCGAGCCTACTTCGGCCAGCACGTTCCGAAGATGATCAGAGACGCGTCCAAGGAGAAGTTCCCCAGATATTCTGATGCGGGGATGAGATGGACTACGGCATGGCGGACCAGGCGAGATGGTAGATCCTGTCATATAGATCTCAATTTCTAACAACTTAACAGCCAACCAGGACGGCCCGACTCGATGTCCCCGTGGGGATGCCAAAGAGGACAGTGGGAACCAGCAAGCTGGCGTATGGTATTATTCAGATGTCGATGTGGCCATTATGTTCCGCACCATGCACATCTGGACCCTTTCTCTCCTGTTCTTCTCCAATAAGCACGCTGATATGCAAGGGCGGCAAATTCCCAATATGACTGGATAGGACTGGACGAGCCCAAGGGGGCAGATCGGCAGACGAGTTACTATGGAAGGGTTGGTTTGAGGGCTGTGACGGGGGAATGGTGCTATTGCCAAGAGTCTTTATGGGGTGTTGCTTGTATATTTGTTGGAGGGCGGAGGCTGGGCGACTTCGCGATTCGGCGAGCATTGTGAGGTATGTCAGGTATCTCATATGAACCTTATGACCCGGCTGTACTTGTCCTGTTAATTGCTTCATGTTCTTGCTCCGGCTACATGCTATCTATAGCTTACTGCCAGTCGACTACGATTCCCAGGCCAATCTACTGCTTGCCTCAGGAAGCCAGAGCTGGCGGTTGTCTCACGCAGATCTCTCAGGCCATGGACTAGCTTGACTATCATATAACAGACCTGGATACATGGACGACCATGTGATTGAATCTGATATTTGGGCGGCGAGGAGTCGGAACGCTCATCAAGGAATCACAAGACGGCATTAACAAGTGACAAACGACAAGTCAAATGATGAGTGAAGGTTCCCCAACTCATCTGAAACGGCTGGAGTATATTGTGTATTATCTGCTCATTGCACTTTATAGTAACTGACCAGTTATGTCAGGCTGCTGTTAGGGTATTAGCCGGCAGTGAGCATCCTTTAGAGTGGCATCCTCTACCGCCCTCCGGCTAAAGGAGCGAAGTCAGGTCTTCCATTGAAAAACTTTCAGCGCAGGGTTTATGCACATTGTAAACTGTCTATTATGCTCAAGTACGCCTAAGGTACCCAATCATGTAAGGCATTGGAGAGTAGACTCGGGAAGCGGCTTCAGATGTTGGGAACTTGGCACCCTTCATGAACTGCTAAATCTCCACAGCAGATAACAACTGGCTGGATGGCCGAGCGGTCTAAGGCGCTAGACTCAAGTGGAGCACAATTGCACACTTTCAACTGTACAGTTGAAGCATTCTAGTCTCGAAAGAGGCGCGCGTTCGAATCGCGCTCCAGTCAATACTTTTGCCCTTGGTGTGGTTTCATAAATGTATGTTGTTTGTTTTTATCTTTTGCTCTTCTATCTTTCACTCGCGTTAAAAGCACGTTCCAATCCGTTAAAAACACGTTCAGGCCCACTATGTGTGGTAGTGCGGTACATCGCACCGATATGCCCACGCTCAAACTCGACAGCCATAGAAGCCGGTTACCGTCTTATAGTAACTACCAAGTACCCGGCCTTGTGTAACCTCCTCGTATTCCTCCTCTTTCTTGTTACTAGCCTTACAGCGATGCCCTCTCCTACCCTAATCGACTAATACTTATGAGCGAGGACGACAATGTTACCTACCTTATAGGTATATATCTCGAGGAAATCCGAAGTATCCGAGTAAGATTACACCAAACTCCCTAGTATTTTTGCTACTCCTACCTAGTAACTATCGTCGGCTAGGCGGTAGGTCGACAATGAGCCTGAATAAGGTCGTTGATGGTTTCGATACCGATGAATTAGGACTAAGCCTCGATCTTGCGGATGTACCGGTGGCGGTGCGGAAGTAGGCCTGAACGTGTTTTTAACGGATTGGAACGTGCTTTTAACGCGAGTGCTATCTTTCGTTGCTATGTATCACCAAATCTTGAAAGTTGAAAGAGCAACGTCTGTACACCAGGAGCCCTTACGGGGCTGGACAATCACAAATGGTGTCTAAAACAGGCAACTTGGCGGCTAGGACATGGTTCAGCCTAAGCAGGATGGCCTTCTGATAATCCTGTCAAGAATTGTAGGAATGCCAGATCCTATTTTGTCTAAATGCTCTTTTGACGTACGATTACACGCTGCATCCCTTCAATCAGGCCAAGGCCACCCAAGCATGTGACCTATGGCTCTGGTAACCTCTCACATATACCTCTGCTTCCTTCCGAACTTACTGGCTTTTACATGAAAGGAGGAAGTGAAAATGGGTATCCACCGTTCTTCATGCGGAAGACGCTCAGCAGGAAGCTGTACATGAAGTACAGAACACCAACCCAGGCCAAAACTGCCACACCCTGGCTCCTCGGATCGGCCATTCTGGGGACCTTGACTGCCAGGTTGATAGCAGCAAAAGAAAGGACACCATACATGGCAGCAACAATCTGCGTCTCCATGCCGTACTGGTTCTGGAATCCGCCGGCAAAGTAGCTGACGCCGCCACGTCCGTCACCGGCAACATAAGGGACCTTGCGGATGTGGTTGAACATATGGCCACTCGTAAACAAGAGAATCCCAATCAAGCTGACGGCAGCCCAGACGTTACGGCTTTGGATAATAGGGAGTACATGAGGGCCGATGACAACCGCACCGGTGCCGAGGCCAGCGATTGACACAAGAGTGATGATCCACTTCAGCCAGTTGATCGGGCGCTTGACGGGTGGGTGTGGTCGGTCGGGGAGATGACGGGCGAGCCATGTGTGGATCTGCTCGGCAGACTGAGGTCTAGAATGAGGTTAGCATGGAATCCCAGAAGTGACATAGATTGGTGCGTACCCATGACTGAAATCGAAACGGATAGGCTCGACGGATTTGGCGGCATGAGTACCGGTTGTGGGCGGGAAGAGAAGGAGGACCGGGGCGGTTTGGAGACCAAGCTACACTTGCTGTCAGTTACGTATCCCTCCACTGTGAAACCGTCTGAAGGGTAGACCAACCGACATGAAGGTGTCTCTGCCATCAGAGAAGTCGAGAGTACCAAACACCAGACGGGACTCTCCAGCCTTATCTCCACGCGTCCAACTCTTGCTGAGCAGGTCCCATTCCGGCTGGAACTCTCGGCACACCTGGCATCCGAATCGGGCTTCCAACGCGGTAAGAAGTACGGCGACGCTGTAATCCCTGGGTGCCCCAGTAAGGTCCTTGAAGGAAGGGTCGGCGAGCTTCAAAGGCGAGGAAGAGAGTGCTTTGGTGTGGAATTTTGTGAAGCGGTCCTCGGGCGCCTTCTTGGCTGCGAATGCACTACCCACCGAAAGGAGGGTGAGAGCAGTAGATAACCAGCGCATCTTGGTGCTTACTGTCTGGTGTAAAAATGCAAAAGATTATTGAAAAGCTGTCGTGGTGGCTCCTCACTTCGAGACAGCCGTTTCAATCATCAAGCTCCAAATGCGAAGCTCCAACAAGCAAGTGGCGACGCCAACAGGTGTCCTCAATTGGAGTTAGCCAAGACATCGAGTGGCCAGTGCTCCAAGCTGATCAAATTTCACTAGCGCATCTCGTACGCGGGGCAGTGAAGTAATCCGCGCTAACCTGTATCTGGAACAATGTTTACTTCTACGCCAGTTTGCGTGTCTTGCATCCCGACACCAACTAGCCCTTTGGCAAAGTCAGCAGTCGCTCTTCTCTGATACTATAACTTACAGCACCTCCGAGTCACTCAATTTTACGACATATTACTGTTCATATTGCAGAAAGCTCCGCTTGCAGCACAATGGCGAGGCGAGGCGCTGTTTCCAACGTAAACACGGCCTCCACAGAGGTATGCCGTCATTCTGCAACAGGCAACACAGTGATTTGGCGAAATGCATGTACTGACAGAACCTTACAGGAGAGGGTGGATGCAATACACAGTCTAGACATGGAGTACCAAGCGGCAACGCACCAGACGAAAATGGTGCTTAGAGACGAGGAGGCGCGGAGACTAAAGCTTCAGACCCTTCTGTTAAAGGACGACAACGCGGCCATCCGGGAAGAGTTATCGCGAAAGGACAAATGGATCGGGGAGCTCCGAGGGAAGCTTAGTTACGCCCAGGAGCAACTTCAAATATTTATGGATCAGACCCGGGCACAAAACAAGCAGCTGCTTTCTCAAGCACGCGAATTGGCGAACAGCAAGGTATGTCTCACGAGGTATTTGTCTGGAAACTTAGGGCTAACACGGATAATAGGAGGAAGTCAAGTCATTGACAGATGCGACGAACGACTCAGCCAAGATCCTTACCGAGAAACTTGCCTTATCCCGGGAGTTAGCCCTCCTAAAACCCGAGCTGGAAGACCTGAAGGCGCGTTTGGCGCATGAAAACGACGTGTTAGCCGAGAAACTGTCCGTCGAACGGCAACTAAACGAACTGGAAGTCGAGCTGGCGAATGAGAAGCGGGCAGCCGAAAAGGCAACGAAGAGACAACAGAGTCATGAGTCCAGCCTAGAACAGGAACTGCGCCAACAAATCCGTGATATGGAAAACCAGCTCGCTAAAGAACGACTTGCAGCGCAGAGATTTGCCCGTGAACATGAGGCAAGATCAGCTGAAGCTAATGACAAGCTGGAAGAGCTCCGGGAGCAGTTGGTTGCAGCAGAAAAAGAGCTCGTCGCAGAGAAGCGAGCAGCTGCCAAGGCCGCCAAAACCAGAAACGTCCATACTGACGCATCCCAGGAGGAACTCGAGCATCTTCGCCTGCAGTTAACTAAGACCGAGGAAGCTCTGGCTGCTGAGAAGCAAGACAAGGAGCGGATACGGAAGGAGAATCAGAGAGCCATTGCTGAGGCTGAGAGTTTGCGTCTGCCGCTTGAGGAGAGGATCGACAATCTCAAGGTCAAATTGCGAGAGACTCGCGAAGAGCTCAAAACTTGCCGTGCAGAACTCCAACGGGCACAGGAGACAACGGCTACCATGGCGATCAAGGTGCCGACGAAGAAGGCGGCACCTGCGAATAAGAGGCGGGCTATGGAGCTCAGCATCCACGACAGTCTTCTCCAGACCCCCAACAAGGACGAGGAGCGTCCGAAGCGGACTTCTAAGAAAACGTTCGTTCCGGCTGCTGTAGGCGAGAAGTCAACCTTCTCTATCACGCCATTCCTCAACAAGACCATTAACCTCAACGACGACTCCCTCAAGCCTATAGTGGAGGATGAGGAGGAGCAGGCGGAGGAAGCAGAGACCGCTGAGGTACCGGCCACCAAGGCAAAGGAGCAGGCTAAGGTGTCAGCCAAGTCTAAGACTAACGCTCTTGCCCAGGCGTCACCCACAAAGCATAACATGCCCGCTCCACCACCCAAGAGCCGCAAAGCGCCTGCCGCCGAAATTACTCTTGCCAACGTCGTTGAGGAACCCGAGGCCGTGGCCGCAGACCAGGAAAACCTTGTAATCATGACAACAGCCGAGACGAGCGAGAAGGCAGACGCGGTGCCCAAGAAGAAGCGGATGGTCCTCAAGAGCCGGACTGCCGCCGCCGCAAAAGCCTCCGCCGTCGTGGCAGCTGAGGAAGTTCAGGCACCTGCTGCTGCAGCAGCAGCAGGGCCAGCAGGGCCAGCCGTGCCTGAACCGAAGAAGAAGAAGAGAAAGCTCATTGGTGCGCAAACCAGCACGCTCTTTGAAGATGCAGAGGATGCCGTTCCTGCTGTCCCGGCTGTTGCTGCCGCTAAGCGCGCACCCATGTCAGGACGGGTCAATCTTGGCACTGGTCTGGCGGCTAAGCGCGCTGTTGGCTTGGGTGCTGGGAAAGGCGGTGGCTTGGGGACGACGTTTAGTCCGCTCAAGAGAGACCGGCGGGGTGTCGGAGCAAGCTTCTTGGCTTGAGGGCATGATGTGGAGTTTCGGAGTTGGCAATGAAAGACTGTTTGCAGGGTATGTTGGAGTGGAAGCTGGCCATGGGTCATCACACAGCTACGGTGGGAGTATTATCAGGGGAATATTGGCGTTCGTGACTTGTCCTCATTATGCTTGCGAGGCGGGTCGTTATTGTATTATGAGCCTGGTATAGGCCTGGTGGGATACGGCGTTAGACTTTGTATTTGAGTACTGGGAAGCCGATCGATTGCTCACCACATGCATGCTACTGATTGCACTGTTAAAGTTGAGTTACGGTTACACACAGGCGAGACGTTGACCATAATGGCGGACAAGCTGGGTTCTCCCAGGTTATGTGTTCATGCCCGTGCAGGTTCAACACTAGAGCTGTACTATGGTTGGAGCGGCATAGGGTAGGTACCAAGTAGGATTGGGTACAGGTTACGTCAACCCGACTTTGTACTGTTGAGATGAATACTGCT